ATGGAATGGAATAGAATAGAATAGAATAGAATAGAATAGAATAGAATAGAATAGATAGAATAGAATAGAAAATGTGGAATGGAATGGAATGGAATGGAATGGAATGGAATGGAATGGAATAGAATAGAATAGAATAGAATAGAATAGAATAGAATAGAATAGAATTGAAAATGTGGAATGGAATGGAATGGAATGGAATGGAATGGAATAGAATAGAATAGAATAGAATAGAATAGAATAGAATAGAATAGAATAGAATAGAATAGAATAGAATAGAAGTACAGTACAATATATTACAACACAACACAATACAATACAAATATTTTCATTCATGCCACCAGCAGAGACCAAAATAAAAGTAATTAACTTGATTAGGGCAGGGGTCTCCAATCTTGGCAACTTTAAGACTTGCGGACTTCAACTCCCAGAATTCAGCTTTGCTGGCTGAGGAATTCTGGGAGTTGAAGTCCACAAGTCTTAAAATTGCCAAGGTTGGAGACCCCTGGATTAGGAGACTGGCGGCTAAAACATATAAAGAACAGTTGCTGGCATTGGGTAGGCCTACTTTAACAAAGAGACGGATCGGGGAGACAGGATAGCAGTGCTCCAATATTTGAGGGGCTGCCCCAAAGAAGAGGGAGTCAAGCTATTCTCCAAAGCCCCTGAAGGCAGGACAAGAAGCAACAGGTGGAAACTCATCAAGGAGAGAAGCAACCTTGAATCAAGGAGAAATTTCCTGACAGTGAGGACAATTAATCAGTGGGATGAGTTGCTTCCAGAAGTTTTGGGTGCTTCATCACTGGGGGTTTTCAAGAAGAGACCGGACATCCATTTGTCCAAAATTATATAGGTCTCCTGCTTGAACAGGAGGTTGGACTAGAAGACCTCTAAGGTCCCTTCCAGGTCTGTTATTCTATTCTACAAAAGTGCTCATAGCACTGAATTGCCAACTATCCAGCTGGCACAAGGCTGCCTTATTGGATGGATTATCTGCAAGATTATCTTTAAACCTCTCAATTTCGACCGTTCTGGGAACCGAAGTCCACACCTCTTAAAAGTTGTCAAACATGAGAAACAGTCCAAGAGAGTTAAATTCCATCTCTGCATCCATTTTGGCTAATAAATAATTGGTGTGTGTGTGTGGATTTTTCCTAGCCTGTTTTCCCCTCGGATGCAAAAAGCTAAATTTTGCAAAACGCCGTAGCTGCTTGCAACGCTCACCTCCATCATGTCTCCAGGTGGCAATTCTAGCTTGAGCCCCCACCCCACTCCCCTGGCTTTTGCTGCCAGGTGTCAAAGGGACACTCCCCCACCTCCATCCTCCCTCTCATTTGGCAGCCAGCCAGCCTCTTCCCCGAATTGCAGAAAAGTTACTTCCTTCTCCCGATGCAAATAGCTCAGGGTTGGTGGCTTTGATGCAAAATGGGGGAGGCTGGTGCTGAGCTAAGACTGGGGGGGGGGGGAGGGAGGAGAAAAAGGGGGACGGGGCAGCATCTTCCCCTTTGGGTAGGAGGCCTTGGGGCACCAGAGTTAAAAGGATTTGATTCTAAAAGCTGATGGGCTGCTAGGGCTGTGGCTCTCTGTGCGAACAGAGGGAAGAATCATAGGAAACAAACAAAAAATAAATAAATAAACCAGCAAAACAAAAACAGAATAACAGCACCAAAAAAAGTGAACCCATGAGCCTGGAAGGGACCTTGGAGGTCTTCTAGTCCAGCCCCCTGTTCAAGCAGGAAACCCTACGCCATTTCAGACAAATGACTGTCCAATCTCTTTTTGAAAACCTCCAGGGATGGAGGAGCACCCACAATTTCTGGTGGCAATTTCCACTCGGCTGATTAATTGTTCTACCAGGAAATTTCTCCTTAGTACTAGGATGGTTCTCTTTTTGGTTAGTTTGCTTCTTGTTCTGTTTTATTTTTTTGGCATTTTGGAGAATATTTTGGCTCCCTCTTCTTTGGGGCAGCCCCTCAAATATTGGAAGGCTGCTATCATGTCACACCTAATTCTTCTTTTCTTTAGAGTAGCTAAATCCAAGTTCCTGCAACCGTTCTTTGTATGATTTTGTCCCCAGATCTTTATTCATCTACCTTTGTGGCACCCCTCAAATACTGGAAGATGCTAACATGTCGGCCTTAGTCCTTAACAGAATAACAGAGTCAGAAGGGACCTTGGAGGTCTTCTAGTCCAACCTCCTGTTCAAGCAGGAGACCCTATATAATTTTGGACAAATGGATGTCCGGTCTCTTCTTGAAAACCTCCAGTGATTGAGCATCTACAACTTCTGGTAGCAAGTTGTTCCACTGATTAATTGTTCTAACTGTCAGGAAATTTCTCCTTGATTCCAGGTTGCTTCTCTTCTTGATGAGTTTCCATCCGTTGATTCTTGTCCTGCCTTCAGATGCTTTGGAGAAGAGGTTGACCCCCCCTCTTCTTTGGGGCAGCCCCTCAAATACTGAAATACTGCAATCATGTCCTCCCCCACTCCTTCGCTTCTCCAGACTGGCCAAACCCCAGTTCCTGCAACCGTTCTTCATATGTTTTAGCCTCCAGGCCTTTCATCCTCTTAGTTGCTCTTCTCTGCACTTTTTCCAAAGTCTCAACCTCTTTTTTTGTAATGTGAGGATCAAAACTGGATGCAGGATGCCAGGTGGGGCCTTACTAAAGCTTTAGAAAGCGGTAGCATTTTATCTTCATCTTAATATAATGTAATGTAATGTAATGCAATGCAATGCAATGCAATGCAATGCAATGCAATGCAATGCAATGCAATGCAATGCAATGCAATGCAATGCAATGCAATGCAATGCAATGCAATGCAATAATATAATATAATATAATATAATATAATATAATATAATATAATATAATATAATATAATATAATATAATATAATATAATATAATATAATATAATATAATATAATATAATATAATATAATATAATATAATATAATATAATATAATAATATTCCCTTTATAATATTCGCCTTTAATATAGCAGTGGAAATCAAGGAGATTATACTCCTTGGTCCCATGCAGCTGCCCCAGCTACGGACCCCAAAGAACGCAGCACACACAAAGTCTGTACAAACCTTAGTTTACTAAATTAAATCAGTCTTTTTTTTCAAGGGTTTTTGGGGATGCCGCAATGGTCGTAAGTGTGAAAAACGGTCCTAAGTCACTTTTTTCAGTGCCGTCGTAACTTCGAACTGTCACTAAATGAATGGCCGTAAGTCGAGGACTACCTGCTTTGAAGGTTGAATTGATTGACAGAGGCCTCCTCTGTGGACTTGTATTTCATGCAATACAGGGAGTCCTCGACTTATGAACACAACTGAGGCCAAAATTCCCCTTGCCAGGCGAGGCGGTTGTTATGTGACTCCTGCCCCACTCTATGACCTTTCTTGCCACAGTTGTTAAGCGAATCACTGTAGCTGTTCAGTGAATCATGCCGTCGTTAAACGAATCCGGCTTCTCCCATTGACCTTACTCGTCCGAAGGTTGCAAAAGGAGATCGCGAGACTGTGGGGACACTGCGACCGTCATAAATATGAACCAGTTGCCGAATGTCTGAATTTTGATCACGTGACCCTGGGGATGCCGTAACGGTCATAAGACATTTTTTTTCAGTGCCGTTGTAACTTGAAACGGTCACTAAAAGAAGTCGAACTGAGGGTTGAATTGATGGACAAATGCTTCACCTGCTCTCCTTCACCTGCGGTGGACTACGATACCCATAAGTCAGACCCGTATGCAAAAGTTTGCTTGCTTCACCCACATCAAGCTTTGGCATGCTCTGGCGAGGCACACAAAATTTAAAAACCACATCACAACCCACAAAAGAAAAAAAAATGGGAAAATAAAATAAAAGGCAAATTCCAGAGAACAATGAACAATAGGCTCATTTTAGCCGGACAGGCAGTCCTCGACTTACGACCACAATTGGGAACCGGACTTTCCGTCGCTAAGCAGGACGGCGGTTGGGAGAGAGTCACCCCTGATTTTATGACCCTTTTTTTTGCCACCGTTGTTAAGTGGATCACTGCGGTCGTTAAATGAATCATGTGGTCATTAAATGAATCCAGCTTTTCCCCCTGACTTTGCTTGTCGGAAAAATGGCTGGGAAGGTCGCAAAAGTGGATCACGTGATCCCCGGGACATAAATACGGTTGCCAAGTGCCTGAATTTTGATCACGTGACTCTTGGGATGCTACAGCGGTTATAAATATGAGGACTGCTCCTAAGTCACGTTTTTTAGTGCCGTTGTAACTTTAAACAGTCACTAAATTTACGGCTGTAAGTTAAGGACTTGCTGTAAAAACCTGGTGTGTCTTTGCAGGTAGTCCTCGACTTATGATGTTTCACTTAGCGACCATTTGAAGTTACAACAGCACTGAAAAAAGGGACTTATGACCGCTTTTTCATACTTATGACCGTTGTGGCATCCCCGGGGGTTACATGATTTACCTTCGGATGCTTGACAACTGATTCACACTTACAACGGTTTCAGGGTCACGTGATTCCCCTTTTGTGACTTTCTGACAAGCAAAGTCTGTGGGGGAAGCCAGATTCACTTAATGACCGGGTTACTAATTTAACAACCGCAGTGATTCACTTAACAGCCCCGGCAAGAAAGGTCGTAAAACAGGACAAGCTCACTTAACAAACGTTTCACTTAGCAACATAAATTTTGGGCTCAAATTTGGACATAACTCGAGGATTACCTGTATACATCTAGTGGGGTTTAGAACAGAATACAGAATGACAAAGTGGAAAGGGACCTTGGAGGTCTTCTAGTCCAACCCTCTGCTCAAGCACCCTATACAGGTGGTCCTCGACTTATGACCACCATTGAGCCCAAAACCTAGGTTGCTAAGTGAAACATTTGTTAAGTGCGTTTTGCTCCCTTTTTACGACCTTCCTTGCCACGGTTGTGGAGTGAATCATTGCAGACGTTAAGCGAGTCACACGGTTGTTAAGTGAATCTGGTTTCCTCATGGACGTGGCTTGTCAGAAAGTCGCAAAAGTTGATCCCATGGCCCAGGGACACGGCGACCGTCATAAATACGAGCCAGTTGCCAAGCGTCTGAATTTCGATGACGTGACCAAGGGGATGTGACAACGGTCGTAAGTGAGAAAAATGGTCCTGAGTCATTTTTTTCAAGGGTTAAATGGTCACTAAATGAACTGGACTACCTCTATAATTCCAAGCAAAATGGCCGTCGGAGGGTCTTCCTGGGGAATTCTGGGAGTTGAAGTCCGCCAGGTTTAAAGTTGCCAAGGTTGGAGAATCCTTGTTCTAAGAGGCCTCTCTGCTGATCTCCAGGACTAGGCAGCTTTGCAACAGTGTGTGTGTGTGTGTTTGTGTGTGTCTCACACAAACATCCTTGGACCTCAGCCCATTTCACAGGTGTGCCAAGTGTTCAGTCTTTTGGTTTCCATTTTTGTCTGCAATGGCTTTGCAGGATTTATTTAATTTGACACATTTCCAAACTTTCCATCCAACGCCTTCCCGATGCAACGAACCAGCCCTTGAAAGACAACTGCACACAACTGCACACACACGGGCAGGCGTGTTACTTGGCAGGGGCTCAAAGACACACAAAAAATGCCCTAACAAGGCGGCCCAAGTTTTGAAGGCAATCAAAACTCTTTGCAGTTTAAAAATGAGAGAATAATCCCTATGAAAACTTGGCTGCTTTAAGAGGGGTGGACTTCAAGTCCCAGAATTCTGAGACTCCACCCATCTTAAAGCACACAGGCTAAGGAATTCTGGGAGTGGAAGTCCACCCATTTGAAGAATGCCGGCTGGGGAATTCTGGAAGTTGAAGTCCCCCCATCTTAAAGAATGACGGCTGGGGAATTCTGGGAGTTGAAGTCCCCCATTGAAAGAATGCCGGCTGGGGAATTCTGGGAGTGGAATTTCCCCCATTTAAAGAATGCTGGCTGGGGAATTCTGGGAGTGGAAGTCCCCCCATCTTAAAGAATGCCAGCTGAGGAATTCTGGGAGTGGAAGTCCCCCCATTTAAAGAATGCCGGCTGGGGAATTCTGGGAGTTGAAGTCCCCCCATTTAAAGAATGCTGGCTGGGAATTCTGGAAGTGGAATTTCCCCCATTTAAAGAATGCTGGCTGGGGAATTCTGGGAGTGGAAGTCCCCCATTTAAAGAATGCCGGTTGGGGAATTCTGGGAGTTGAAGTCCCCCCATTTAAAGAATGCCAGCTGGGGAATTCTGGGAGTTGAAGTCCACCCATCTTTAAGCATGCTGGCTGGGGAATTCTGGGAGTGGAAGTCCCCCCATTTAAAGAATGCTGGCTGGGGAATTCTGGGAGTGGAAGTCCCCCATTTAAAGAATGCCGGCTGGGGAATTCTGGGAGTTGAAGTCCCCCCATTTAAAGAATGCTGGCTGGGGAATTCTGGAAGTGGAATTTCCCCCCATTTAAAGAATGCTGGCTGGGGAATTCTGGGAGTGGAAGTCCCCCATTTAAAGAATGCCGGCTGGGGAATTCTGGGAGTTGAAGTCCCCCCATTTAAAGAATGCCGGCTGGGGAATTCTGGGAGTTGAAGTCCCCCCATCTTTAAGCATGCTGGCTGGGGAATTCTGGAGTGGAAGTCCCCCATTTAAAGAATGATGGCTGAGGAATTCTGGGAGTGGAAGTCCCCCATTTAAAGAATGATGGCTGAGGAATTCTGGGAATGGAAGTCCCCCCCATTTAAAGAATGCTGGCTGAGGAATTCTGGGAGTGGAAGTCCCCCATTTAAAGAATGCTGGCTGAGGAATTCTGGGAGTTGAAGTCCCCCCATTTAAAGAATGCCAGCTGGGGAATTCTGGGAGTTGAAGTCCACCCAACATAAAGGATACTGGCTGAGGAATTCTGGGACATTTTAAAGCATCTGGCTGGGGCATTCTGGGAGTTGAAGTCTATCCCTCTCTTAAAGCCTGGATGGCATGGATGCCACTAATCAAAGGGGAGGGGGCTCGCTTCCCTCCTGGCCAATCAATTCGCCCCTTTAGAGATAATTGTCTTCATCGCTCCCACGGTCAGCCTCCTCCTCTTCCTCGTCCCCCGCCAGCGCTTCGATGTCGTGGGTGATGTTGGCGATCCGTCGATTGAAGGACTCCGACTCGGAATGCAGGGACCAGCTGTCGTAGCTCCTCACGGCCGAAGCCGAAGTGCTGCTCATGCTCTTCTTGATGCGGCCGAAGCTGTCGGTCAGGATGCCCCCTTCCCGGATGCCGATGCTCTCCAGGAAGCTCTCGAAGTAGCCGATGTCCTGGTCAGGGATGAAGGGCCGCATTCCTGCAGAGAGAGGATAAAGGGGGCTCTTGGAGCTCTCTGAGCTGGGTGGTTTTTCTGCAGACGTTTCACGACCCTTCTAGATAACATCATCAGGGCTAGAAGGGAGCGGAATTTGCGGAGGAGAAGGAGGAGGTGGTATTCCCCAACTACATAACAATATCAGAGTTCCTCCTCCTCTTCCTCCCTTCTCCTCTTCCTCTTCTTCCCCTCTCCTCTTCCTCCCTTCTCCTCTTCCTCCTTTCTCCTCCTCTTCCTCCCTTCTCCTCTTCCTCCCTTCCCTCTCCTCTTCCTCCCTTCCCCTCTTCCCCTCTCCTCTTCCTTCCTCCTCCTCTTCTTCTTCTTCCCCTCTCCTCTTCCTCTTCCTCTTCCTCCCATCTCCTTTTTCTCCCTTCTCCTCTTCCTCTTCCTCCCTTCTCCTCTTCCTCTTCCTCCTCTCTCCTCTTCCCCTTCTCCTTCTTCTTCCCCTTCTCCTCTTCTTCTTCTTCCCCTCTCCTCTTCCTCCCTTCTCCTCTTCCTCTTCCTACCCTCTTCCCCTCTCCTCTTCCTCTTCCTCCCTTCTCCTCTTCCTCCCTTCCCCTCTTCCTCCCTTCTCCTCTTCCTCGCTTCTCCTCTTCCCCTCTCCTCTTCCTCACTCCTCCTCTTCTTCTTCTTCCCCTCTCCTCTTCCTCTTCCTCCCGTCTCCTTTTTCTCCCTTCTCCTCTTCCTCTTCCTTCCTTCTCCTCTTCCTCTTCCTCCTCTCTCCTCTTCCTCTTCTTTCCCTCTCCTCTTCCCCCTTCTCCTCCTCTTCTTCTTCCCCTCTCCTCTTCCTCCCTTCTCCTCTTTCTCCCTTCTCCTCTTCCTTTCTCCTCCTCTTCTTCTTCTTCCCCTCTCCTCTTCCTCTTCCTCCCATCTCCTTTTTCTCCCTTCTCCTCTTCCTCTTCCTCCCTTCTCCCCTTCCTCTTCCTCCTCTCTCCTTTTCCTCTTCCTTCCCTCTCCTCTTCCCCCTTCTCCTCCTCTTCTTCTTCTTCTCCTCTCCTCTTCCTCCCTTCTCCTCTTTCTCCCTTCTCCTCTTCCTCTTCCTCCCTTCTCCTCTTCCTCCCTTCTCCTCCTCTTCCTCCTCCTCTTGGTGGCACATCTTGGCGTCCAAGATTGAGAAACACTGTACTCTGCCAATCTGGGCCTCTTAATTTTTATCGTTACTTAAGTAATAAAAGTACATTTGCTTCCAAAATATCAGAAGCCGTGAATTCCCCAAAAACTAAAGCGATGCATAATTGGGTTAAACATTATCAAACCTTTGTCACCTTAAAGAAAAACAACACCTACATTCTACCCAGGAAAATATTTGCTTAAATAAATTAATGTGTTCACAACTTCTTCTTCTTCTTTTTTTTTTTGAATAACCAAAAGAATTTGACTAAAATGGAAAACAAACCACCTTCATCTAATGGAGGTGTCAAAAGCGATGCATTCTTTTTTTGCAAGCCACATTTTTACATCCCAAGGGAAGATTAAATTAAAGATTAAATAAACGGAAAGATTTTGAAATCCCACGGAAAGACGGAAGGAAAAATGCTTTTTAATTTCTCAGCGTAAATCCAGCGGTTTACAGCAAAAATTCTCTAAAGGCCATTTAAATGGACCATTAAAACAAGACTCACAGCAGTTGTGAAATCCTGCTAAGGATTTTTTTTTCCCCAACTGAGAAACCTTCAGCCCATATATTTATCTATATCTATCTATCTATCTATCTATCTATATATATAGATATTTATCTATATAATTTATATATATATAGTTATCAGAGAGAGAGTGAATTATACAACGCCTCTAATTGGTTAGCAAATTCTTCCATTTTCTGCTTTCCTACTTAAAAAAGCTTTAAAAAACTTAAAGAAACAGATTGGAGTGACACAGCTCCACAACCCCACACAATCACACAAACTTAAATGGGATGAAAACGAAGAATTTCCAGCATTTGAATTGGCATTATTTGAAATCCACATTATTCGAATTGACATTATTGGAATGGGCATTTATTCGAATTGATATTACAGGTAGTCCTCCACTTACAACGGTTCATTTAGTGACCATTCAAAGCAGGGGTGAAATCCAGCAGGTTCTGACAGGTTCTGGAGAACAGGTAGCGGAAATTTTGAGTTGTTCAGAGAACTGGCAAGTACCACCTCTGGCTGGCCCCAGAGTGGGGTGGGAATGGAGATTTTGCAGTATCCTTCCCCTGCCACGCCCACCAAGCCAAGCCACGCCCACAGAACCGGGAGTAAAAAAATCTGGATTTCACCACTGGTTCAAAGTTACAATGGAATTGAAAAAAAGTGATTTAGGACTATGTTTCACACTTATGACAGTTGTAGCATCCCGACGGTCATATGATTAAAAGTCAGACGCTTATCAACTGACTTATATTTATGACAGTCGCAGTGTCCTGGGGGTGTCACGTGATTCCCTTTTGCCTTTGACAAGCAAAGTCAAAAGGGAAGCCAGATTCACTTAACAACCAGGTTACTGCAGTGATTCACTTAACAACTGAGGCGAGAAAAATGGGGCAAAACTTACTTAACCAATCTCTCACTTGGAGACAGAAACGTTGGGCTCAGTTGTGGTCGTAACTTGAGGACTACCTGTATTCAAACTGGTATTATTTGAATTGACATGGTTTAAATTGGCGTTATTTGGAAATGGGCATTGTTTCAATTGACACGATTCTGCCTGGCAGAGAGATTGCCCCGACTTATTATTTATGATTAAAAACATCGTTTTGCTTCTTTTATTTAATCCTTTGCAGTCACGATTTCCAAATTTCTAAACTTGCCAGGATGACTAGCAAGTTTTAAATGCAACGACGAGCGGATTTCACTGCCGTCCGGATGAAATCAGGAGCAAGACAAGAGGGAATTAGACCCCTGGGGGAAAAGGGGGTCAGAAAAGTCAAGATGGCGCCCATCATGTGACCAAAACCCCGCCCAGGTGGGACTTCGATTGCATGTGGTCGCCATCTTGAATCTCCTGCAAATCAAATTATTTTCCCGCTTCCAGAGATAGATTGTTGTGGCTCCGTTGCCTGAGCCTGGGCGATCGACAGATGCAGACTCTGAGAGTGAAGGAGAGGAGTTGGCAAGGCCTCCCTCTCCAGGACCCTCCTCTCTGGCAATGCCTCCGGAGGACACCAAAGGCCAAGAGATAGGCCCAGAGCCAAGCACGTCCCCGCAGCCACAGGTGGACAGCGACGAAGGAGATAAGTGCTGGCTGGACCCGCGACAGAGGCTCAGGGAGAAGCGTGCGCAGCAGAGGGGAAGGCGTGCCAGAGATTAGCTGAGTCACTGGACCACACCCCACAGGGTATAAATGTGGGTGTGGTGGCCGGTTCAGTTTGTGACGAGCAAAAACTGGAAATAATCCATGATCTCTGCGTTACTGGACTTTGCCTGCTTTATCGGACTGCATTTGGATTAATCCTTGTATTGTTGACACTCTGCCTGTTTTATCGGAATGCTGGCAGTCTAATCTTTGTTTTGTGTGAGTAAAGTCTGAATTGGCAGCTAGCCACTGGGTTGCTGCCAGCTTTATCTTCAAAGAGTTTTGTCGTGTGGCTTATTAACTCCGGGCCGTCTGTGGGGGTGCGTGTGTGGGACGGGGACAGAACAGAGATGCATTTACCCAAAAGGAGAAATTTCCGCTTTTCCCCAT